CACAGGGACAGGCAAGCCCAACACAGGGACAGGCAAGCCCAACACAGGGACAGGCAAGCCCAACACAGGGACAGGCAAGCCGGACGCGCACGCGAGCCTCTCTCCAGTCTCAAACCACAGGCCAGAGGGGCACGGCGCCCTGCTTTACCCCGAGTTTTAGGGTGCCTGGGACTCACCGTCTGCAGGTCATACCACGTGCCCGAGGGGAAGTAGCCTGTCACCTCGTCCTTCCCGGGGTCCAGCACAGGCGTGATGAGGAGGGCCTCCCCCCACAAGAGCTGGCGGTCCACCAGCCACGTGCCAGAGTCTGTGGGGAACCTTCGAGGAGGAGGGGCAGACAACTTCATCTCCAGGATGCCAGGGCAGGGCTGGGCCCCAAACAAGCCTGGCTCCGCACTGCACGCTGAGGGGCCCGAGCCCAGGGCACACGCCGGGCTTCAGCAGGAAGGTGTGGAGGCAGCCTTGGGCCTCTACCTTGCTAACTCATCTCTTGATTATCAAAGCAGCGCTCCATGCTCCAGCTCACATACACAGAATGCAGAGTGTACCAGGAAGCCTCTGCCACCTCACAGCCAACCAGCCATCTCCCACACGGCCTCCGTGTGCATCCGGTGCTGCTCCTGGAGGCCCAGGGGTCTGCATGCACCTCCATGGCTGTCAGGCACTCGCGGCTCCTGACACGTTCTCCGCCAGGGCTCACGGGGACCGACACCCTCCCACCCAGGTCACTCACTCCAGGAAGAGAGGCCGGGCCACGGTGTCCCCGCGGACGTGGGCGCGGTGGAAGAGCGTGTAGAGGTGGGGCAGCAGCGCGTAGCGCAGGGCCAGGGCCTTCCTCATAGCCTGCTGGGCCGGCGGGCTGAACCTGTACGGCTCCTGGGGCTGCGCGGGGCGGAGCACAGGCAGCGCTGTCAGGCTGGGGCGATGAGCGCACCGTGGCTCCAGCACCAGGCTGTCCGCCCCGGCCACCCAGCGTGGCAGGACTTGAGGCAGGGCAGGGTGTCCGGCGGGTGGGCCCCCTACCTGGCTGAGCAGGTCATTGTGGTTCCGCATGAAGGGGTAGAAGGCGCCCAGCTGGGTCCAGCGCACGCACAGCTCCTCCGAGGTATTGCCCAGGAAGCCGCAGATGTCCGCGCCGACCAGGGGCACCCCCAGCAGGCTAAACTGCAGGATTTCTGGAAGGACAGAGGTGGACGGGCCTCAGACAGGCCTGTGGGGGTGCACTGGAGAAAGGGGGTCCCTCCTCCGGCTTCTGCATCTTCGGCCACAATTCAGACCCCAGTGTGGGCTGAGCGGTGTTCCCAGAAAGCGGGGTCCTGGGCCCTAGGATATGCGGCGGGTGTTTCCAAAAGCAAAGGCAGCAGTGGAAGCCCTCAGGGCTGGCCTGGCCCACAGACCTGGCCCATAGATAGGACAGACGTCCTGCCAACAGAGCCCGCCCTGGGAGAAGCCCCCCGGACGAAACACGAGCCATCGGAGGCAGCCCTGTGATCACGGGCAGAGGCTGGGCCTGGACCGACACAGCGAGAAGCCAGGATGCCAAGAGCCAAGGCGGCCCTGAGCTGTGCTGCGGCGGGCGCAGCCCCAGTCATCTCAGCGGGGAGGAGGACTCCCCGCTGGGGCCCCAGCTTGCCGGCAAGGCCACAGCCTGGGGTATGAATGGGCCCCGCAGGGCAAGGAGTGCGTGGACTCCAGGTCTGGTCTGCTCACGAGGGCTGGGGCCAGCTCCTAGCCACCCTGCGCTGGCCCTGCTTGCTCGATGTCTCCCCAAAACAAGAACCCCGCACACTGGAGCTGACCCTGGGCCCTGGGGCTCCCCTCACGCTGACAGCACAGGAGCCCGGCTCAGGAACGGTTGGCTCGCACACAAACAGAAACCAAGGCAGGTCAGGAAGCCCAGCGCCATCTCCCAAGGCCTTCAGGCCTGGCCAGGCCTTGGGGCCTGCCCTGGGCGGGACATGGTGTACCAGCAGCAGGAGACCAGCCCCTCCCGGAAGGGGCTCTCTCCTCCCCAGAGCTCAGCTAGGCAGGCCCCAGCCACGACTGTTGGTCTTCAAACATCTCACCCAGAATCAAGTCTCTTCTGGCTTCCCTGACCCCTTACGGCAGCCCTCAGACCCCGCCAACTTTCTAGGGCTCTGAGCCATGTCTGGGCAGCAGGGGTCAACCGCATCAACGTGCTAGGGATCCACGTGGACCGCCTCTTTGCCACGTGGGGTTGGGCCCGGGGCCCGGGGCCCGAGGGCAGGGTGCTTGTGGCAGACTTGGACCACGTTTCCTGCAGCTCAAGGTGTGGTCACGGGGGGGGAGGGGGGAACCTGACGCCTCTTAGGGTAATGGCCAGGACGAGCCGGAGGCAGGGACGGTGGGCACAGCTGGCGCAGGAAGCAGGCGAACGCGGTGCACAGGGACCGCAGGCCTCACGCCGCTCGTGGCCTGGTGGTGAGCCCCCGCGCGCTCGGAGCCAGCCCAGACCCAGCTTTGCGTGGATGCTCCCTGTGGCCCGCGTCCCAGCCTCTTCCCGAGTCACGCTCACCTGGCACAGAGTAGGCCAGCTGCTCCCAGCTGCTCCACACGTCCCCCGTCCAGTGGCCTGCATAGTGGCCATGGCCGGAGAACGTCGAGCGGGAGATCACAAAGGATCGTGTGCCTCGAACCTTCTCCAGGGCCCTGGGTGGGACGGAGGGTGAGGGAGGGGGCACAGAGCTGTGTGGAGCCGTGTCCCCCAGGACCACACCTGGCGACAGCAGGGCAGCATGGGGGGGTGGGGAGAGGCCTCCGCCATCTGCAGGGCGGTCCGCTCTGCGCCAGCCCCCTAAGGGGTCTTCAGGGGAGCCCCGCCCCAGCCCGCGGGCGTGACAGGGTCCCACCCGACCACCCGTCCAGAGCATGCGGCAGGCACGCAGTCGGGGGAGCTCGGGTTACTGTGGGGTAGGGGAGGTGGCCGCAGGTGACCCAGGCCAGGGCGTGAGGTGAGGAGCGGGCGCAGGGCTCACCTGCTGGAGGCGATGGCCTCAGTCAGGCCATACAGGTTGTGGAGGTTGTAGTGCGTGGACAGGAACTGCAAGCTGGAGGCACAGATGGTGGCCGCCTGCAGGGTCCCACCAACCACCCCTGGAAGATGGGTGCCGGTTTCCATGGCGCTGCCTCCTCGGGGTCCACGGCGCCTTCCCACCCTCCCCTTCCATTCGGCGTGGGGCGCGGGGCGGGCAGAGCACTCACCGGGCACATAGGGCGGGTTTTCCAGAGTGTTGTCGGGGCAGCCGTGCTCAGAGCCCCTCACGAAGTTGGAGGGCTCATTCATGTCCTGGGAGGGAGGGTCAGGCAGTGCGGGATTGGCTGGTGCCAGAGATGGGGGTGGGGTGGCACCCAGGGCGCGGGCCGCACTTACAATCCACATGCCATCGAAGGGCACCTGGGCGTGGAACTCGGCCACCATGTCCCGCCACCAGTTGAGGGTCTCAGGGTTGGTGAAATCGGGGAAGGCGGTGGACCCAGGCCATACCTGGGCACGAGACACCAGAGGGAAGGCCCTGGGCATCTCGGCTGCTAGCGGAGCAGCTGCCCCCCCCTTCCTCACTGCAGACCCAAGGCCGGCCTCGGGGGACAGTGCTCCGGTGGAGGCGCCCGAGGGGCCTCAGCCCAGGGGCAGGCAGGGCCGTGGCCTGCACAGCCGTCTGGGCGGGAGGCGGACAGGCTCATAACCGGAGGAGATGGCTGGGTCTCTGTGGGGGCCTCCCAAGAGGGGAAGGGGGACAGAAAGACCCCCAGAGCTCTCTCAGGATCTGCCTGGGTCATGCCAGGGCTGAGCCCCGCTGCCCAGGAAGCCCGAGACAGAGGAATTCCAGGGGCCGTCCTCATCTGGAACCTCCCCCCCCCAGCTGGACCCCCAGCCGCTTTCCACTGGCCAGAGGCCCGCCGAGCCCACCTTCCCGATCAGCGGCTGCCCGGTGGCGTTGGTGACGAACACCCCTCTCCGCAGACCCTCGTCGTAGGGCCTGTAGCTCCCCGCAGGGCTGCCGCTGCTGATGGCAGGATCCTGCGGGTGCGGCACACCGTGAGCGGGACCAGGATGCAGCAGGGCCCAGGCCTGCGTGTGGAGTGCACCCCGTCTGGGAGACCCCCGGAAGAGACCGGCTAGCTTTGCCTCTCTTCTAAGGCTTCGGGGACCAGGGGGACCATTTACACTTGATAGAGCTTTTAATGCACAGTGAAAACACAAGGCCTGCATTGCGCTCTCTGCGGAGCACCCCTGCTGCCTGCGGCCCGGCCCTCCGACAGGACGGGCCTCTGCTGAACTGGGGGGGGGGTCTCTGTGGCTGTGGTGTTCGGTCTCCTGAGCACCCCAAGAGAGCAGCTCCACCAGCCCTGAGCCGAACTCCCCTGGCTGTGGGGCTGACCCGGGCCGGGCTGGCGTGGCACTGGCTGCTCCGTCCTGCCTTCTTCCAAGGCTGAGTCAGCCCGAGGGAGAGGCGGGTCAGGCACACGCAGGCCACCCACATCCAGCGCCCCAGCAATCTCCACAACTGAGTGACATCACTTATGACACCTCCGGCCCCAGACGAGATGTCGCTGGGCTGCAGAGACCAAGTCTGTCACCTTCCCAATGTCCCTCAATATTCAAAGACCCAGCAGGACAGGAAGAAGCTGCACCGAGGGGCCGCTGGCCCTGGATGACCCCACAAAGCAGCCCAGGGCAGGACACTCACCACGATCATCACGTACCGCCGGCCACCCTGGTGCAGCTCCCGAACTGTGTCCGGGAAGTCTGCGAACCCTTCCTTGTTGAAGGTAAAGTCCCTGCGGGCATCCATGTAGTCCAGGTCATTCCACTGCACATCCTGCAGCCAGACACAGAGGCTCAGGCCCCGGGGCCACGCCCTACTGCCACCCACCAGAAGCAGGGGGAGCCCCACAGAGGCTGGGGTCCGGTGTGCGCCCTGGCCCCAGCCACCACTCACCAGGGGGAAGCGAGCCTGGGTCATGTTCTCCACCACCTGGCGGACGATGGCGGTGGAGGAGTAGCCCCAGCGGCAGAGATGGAAGCCCAGGCCCCAGTACGGAGGCATGAACGGGAAGCCTGCGGCCACACTGCTGGTGAGCGGGCGTGGAGGGCGGGGGGAGGGGTGCTGGGAGCAGAGAGGGGACTGGGGGCGGGTGTTGAGGGTGGGGGCCTTTACCCACGACATCCAGGTACTGCTGCACCACGCTCTTGGGCTCTGGCCCGAGAAAGACGTACAGATCCAAGATCCCTCCTGTGGACCTCCAGGTGAGGGCTGGGCTGGGCTGCAGGACCACGTCTGGAGGGGGGCAGAGGGGTGGCCTGGGTCAGGGACAAACACCCCACCCCAGGGGCCCAGGCACCCCACAGACACGAGCCACAGCCAGAGTGTGGCTCTTCTCAGAGGAAGCCCAGGATGGCGGTGGGGGAGGGCAGGGGGCGGGCACACTGAGCCTGAGGGGCAGAAGGGCCCGGGGCGGACACCAGGGCCTGGCCAGCACCCACTTGGAGCAATGAGAGCAGAGCCAGGGAGGCCGCAGCCCCCGGCCTCACTTCTTGGGCTGTCTCTCCCGGGAGGGACGGGGCGCGGGGCTCACCCATGGCGTTGCTGTTCAGCAGGAAGACGCCGTGCGCGGAGCCGCCGTCCTCGAGGACCATGTAGAAGGGGTGCGAGCCGTAGAGGTTGGCTCCGGGCTAGGGCACACGGAGATGGTGCTTTAGTCCCAGGACCCTGGAGGCCACATGGCCACCCGCCACTCCTCCCGTACTGTGGGCGCCAGGTCCCGGTTCCAGAGGGTAACCCGGCTCCAGTCGGTGCTGAGCATCAGGGGGCTGAGGCGCTCGCCAAGGCCCGTGACGTAGCGGGAGGCCAGCGAAGTGGACAGGTGCAGGAACTGGTCAGCAAAGATCAGGGGGGCCACCGTCGTGTTCAGCCTGCAGGAGAGACCAGGCTCCCTGGAACCCACGCCGCAAGAGCCAGATGGGCCCAGCAGAGGGGAGGCCTGCAGAAGGCTGACTGCAGCCCTCAGCCACGGCCAGTGCAAAGAGCCACCGAGGCCCAGGTCCCAGGGCTGGGCCAGGCCCTCAAGGTGGACAGAGGGCAGCAGTGGTGCCCATGTGGGGCCGTGTCAGGGGACACAAGGCCGAGTGACCGCTGCCTGGCCCAAGGCCCCAGCTTTGTCCTGGCAAGCTCGCCGTCACTCGTCCCTGTCTCCACACGGCTCCGTGGCGCAGCAAGGGCCGGCTGCTTTGGCAGGAGCTGGTAACCGTGGCTAGCCCCACAACCGGACACATGTCTGATAAAGGCACAGCAAGGCCGGGCAGGCGCACGCCTCCTGGACGCAGAGCCACTCCGGACTGCACCTCGCCTTGGCTACCGCTGGTGGCTCTGTGGGAGGCCATCCCGGGCACCACCAGGCTGGGTAGCATGCTGCCACGGACACCTGAGCAGCTCCAGACACCGCCTCAAGGCTCCTGGGGGACTAGGGCCCCGAGAGGCTTCTGTGAAGAAGGGGCTACTACCACACACCCAGGCAGAATCCCAAGCTGACAGCCAGGGAGCTCCCACAGGTGCTGTTGGTGGAGGGGGGAACGGTCAAAGCGATGGACCAGCGCAAGGACAATGCTGGCCAGCTCACAGGTGGTCTGCGCCCTCTAGGAAGTTCTGCCCACCCAGAGTGGAGACACAGGAACCTGACTCACAGCACCCAGCCATCGGACTTCCTGCGCACAACCACCCCGAAGGGCTCCTCCCAGAACTCCACGCTGTAGAGCGGGGACGGCGCCCGGCTGTGGACATGTGGTGTCTCCAGGGGCACCTCATAGCGCTTGCTGGAGGGGTCTTTGATCTAGAAGAGAGAAGGTGGCATCTGAGGCCGCACAGGCGGTGTCTGCCTCTCCCCTTCACTTACTGTACACAAGGCTGCAGGAATGTGGCATTGAGCTAACCCCCCACAAGGTTTTCTTTCTTAGGATTTGAACCCAGGGCCTCTAGCTTGCTAGTCAGATAACGAAACCCTTGAGCCACACCACAGCCCTGTATGTTTTATTGTTGTTGTTGTTGTTTTTTGTCGGTCGTGGGGCTTGAACTCTGGGCCTGGGCGCTGTCCCTCAGCTCTTCAGCTCAAGGTGAGCGCTCTACCACTTGAGCTACAGAGCCACTTCCAGTTTTCTGGTGGTTTATTGGAGATAAGAGTTTCACGGACTTTCCTGCCTGGGCTGGCCTTGAACCTCGATCCTCAGATCTCAGCCTCCTGAGTAGCTAGGATTACAGGCGTGAGCCACCGGCGCCCAGCCCCTGTATGTTTTATATAAATAGGTCCCTAAAATACACAGGACATCCTGTGTTAATTGCCAACCAGGTGCAGGTGGCTCATGCCTGTAATCCTACATACTTTAAAAGGCCAAGAGCTAAGGATCATGGTTTGAAGCCGACCTGGGTAGAAAAATTCATGAGACTCTTATCTTCAATTAATCAGTGAAGAACTAGAAGTGGAGCTATGGCTCATTTGTTAGAGCACCAGCCTCCAATGAAAAAGCTTAGGGACCGCGCTCAGGCCTTGAGTTAAGCCCCAGGACACACACAGACACACACACAGACACACACAGACATACACACACACACAGACACACACACGTATAAAGCCAGGTGCTGGTGGCTCATGTGCAATCCTAGCAATTCAGGAGGCTGAGATCTGGATTGTGATTTGAAGCCAGCCCAGGCAGAAAGTTTGTGAGATCTTATCTCCAAAAAGACACAAGTGGAGCTGTGGCTCAAGTGGTAGAGCGCTACCCTTAGGCACAAAAGCTCAGAGATGGTGCCCAAGCCCAACACACACACAGAAGGGGGGGGGGCATAAAAATCACTTCTCTGTAGCTATGGGGTGCTGCAGGCAGGTGAACACAGCAGGGAATTGAGCAAAAGGAAGTCTGAGTGGTGAGCAGTCAGCTGGGGCCACTGCCCACGGCCTGCAGCACCCCCCTGCGGATGCCTGGGCAGCTGAGACAGCCTGACCCCTGGGCGGCCTGGACCCCACCGTCCACAGCACCCGTCACCACGCGAGACCTCTGCTCCACAGGGTCCACCCTGCCCACCTCTGGGCTCCCAGTAGGGGCACAGCACACAGCAGGACCGCAAGAGGATGCGTGTGCTCCCCTCCTCCGCTCGCCCCCTGTCTCTACACACCGTGAGGCGCAGGCGGGTGTCGGTCTCCATCAGCACATCCAGCTGTAGGACCAGGATGTCCTTTGGGAGGAAGGCGGGCGTGCCCCGGACCAGCGCGGCTGTGTAGCCTGTCTCTGAGGGCTTCAGGCCCTTCAGCCGGTAGCTGGGGTAGCTGGGCGGGAAGAAGCACCAGGGCTGCCCCCTCAGGGGCTCCCGGGGGCCCGGCTGTGTCGGGGCGTAGCAGCAGCCACGGGCCTCGCACTCGTTCTGCGTGATGGCCCTGTCTGGGGCGCAGTCGAAGCGGTTGTTCGGGGACACGTCGCACTGTGTGGGTGCTGCCCAGCGCTGGCCAGGGCGCTGCTGGGTGTGCTGGGGCCCCGGCCCGCCAGCTCCATGCTGCTGAGCTCCAGGAGTCACCTCCAGTCCTCCAGAGGGGCCACGCGGCTCTTGGGGAACCACCAGGACGTCACGCAGCAGGACGTGCCCCAGCAGGGCGGCTGCGGCCAAGGAGAGGAGGGCGCAGACCCCCACCAGTGGGTGGGGGCGGGGGTGCCGCCTCACACCCATGGTGCAGCGGGCAGAGTCTGGAGGCCTGTGGAGAGACGGAGGCCCAGTCACAGGGAGGAAGGCCATTCCCACGGGGCGTCCACACAGTGACCTGTTGCAGTGCCAGAGGTGGAAGGAGGCCAGTCAGGGGACACTTCCTTCCACTTCCTTCCAGGATGCGGGTGAGGAACCAGGGCAGGTGACAATGGGGACTCGTCAGGGGCGGAGGTAGGGCACTGCAGACCGTGAAGAAGCACGGAGCAGACTTCCAGACAGTGAGCAGACTGGGCAGACTGCCCGACAGGGACGGCAGCCACACCTGACAATGAAACAAGCTCTATCCACAGGCATCTGAGCCCCACTTCTGCAGATAGGGGTGACCCAGGTTAGGAAGGCCTGGCTAGTGAGGTGTCCTTGGAGTAAGCTGTCCTTTGGGAAACCTGCTGCCTCCCTGGGCCCCTTTCCTGTGGACAGGCACAGACACACCCCCGTGAAGCCTTGGCCATGGCAAGAAATGACCACGAGACAAGAGTCCAAGGCCCTGCCCCCAACCACTTGCCAAGAGCTCCCCCTCCCCCGTCATCTCTGTGGCGCGGGGAAGAAGCACGTTCTATTATATACTATACCAGGGGCTCCCAGAGACAGAGGTAACAATGAGGACCCAGAGTTCAGAATCTGGTGGCAAGATGGAGATCGCTCACCTGCTCATCTGTGTGCCTAACTTTCTCTCAAGCCACTGTGTTAGTCTAGCTCCAGAGAAGTACAGTGGTACCATCACAAGATAAACACATGGGGATCTTATTCAAGGCCTTACTGTTAAAATAGTGGGGTAGAGCCAGGGGCCTGTGGTTCATGTCTGTAATCCTACTCAGGAGGCTGAGATCTGAGGATCGTGGTTCAAAGCCAGCCTGGGCAGGAAAGGCGTGTGAGCCTGACCTCCCAATTAACCACCAGAAAACCGGAAGTGGTGCTGTGGCTCAAGTGGTAGAGCGCTCGCCTTGAGCTGAAGAGCTGAGGGACAGCGCTCAGGCCGAGTTCAGGCCCCAGGACCGGGCCAAAAATAAAAATAAATAAAAATACAGGGCAGGTGCGGAGTGGCGGTGACTCACGCCTGGAATCCTACATACCTGAGAGGCTGAGACTGGAGGATTGTGGTCTGAAGCCAGAGGGGCAGAAAACTCCACGAGATTCTGTCTCCAGTTAACCAAAATGCCAGACTGGAGGCGTGGCTCAGACCCAATTATGAGAAAGCAGGGAAATGGGAAGTGTGAGGGCCCAGGTGAGTCCCCGGCACCGGCGCGCACGCGCACACACGCGCACGCGCACGCGCGGCGGACTGCGCTCCGGGGAGCTCCTGC